TCGATTCGATTTGCATTTGCAATTTTAACAAAACAAATATATTTCTTTGTAAATGGACAAAAACATTAACAAATAGTGATAGTGAACCAAACCTTACTGATAAAAATATTTATCGACAAAATGAATACGGCTTTGAAAGAGATTTTTACTCGAATGAAACCAGTTTGTGATGTGATGATGGTAAACCCTTCCAAAGAAAATGTAGCCGGTTATATCTCAATTGTAAACGAACTGGGTGATGAACACATACAGGAATTGCAACAATACCTCCTTTATCCACTCATCACTCACATCAGATCAAGAGAGTTGAAGTATGTTACATTTTTATTCTTAGGATTTAAAACAAACTGTTTTTGTGTCAAGTACAGTTAATCATAAAATCTTTCTGATTGATAGCCTTGAATAGATATGTAACAATAATTTTAAACCAATTTCAACATTAATTTACAATATTAATCAAATTTAAATGTCTTTTCAGAGGCAAGCATGAACAACAAAAAAATATTGTTGATGCGATGACAGTTGTTCTGGAGAAGGTACACATAAATAACATGGAGATGTGTATTAAAATATTAACTGGTTCCATGCCTCTCATTTTTGACAAAACTAGACCTGGAATGAGTAAGTTTCATGACCTGACTAAAAAAAAATCCCAGATATCACCATCACCTAAAAAAAAAATGTTTGACCATTACTTGTGAACCACTGGATATATTACAATAAAGCATTTATCATAATAACCTTAGAAAGCCAAGAAAGTTTATGTCATAGATTTATATATACAGTTACCTACTCTTGAGCACAAAAGTGAAATAAACAGAGCCAGCAAGCATATTCAAACAATATTGTCATTTACAATACAAAACAATATTTTAAAGACTTGTATGTATGGTTTATGCCTTCAAAATAATAGCCAATATAAATACATGCCAACATAACATAAATAAACTTAGTTTGTTGTCAGTTTTTGTATTTGGCATTTCTATATATACTAGTTTTGGGTTTCTTATAATACTTATATGTATAGAAAATTTATTTTAAAGTTTTTAATTAAAATGTTCTAGTTGCCGATGTACCAGAAGAGTTAAAACTAAGTGCAATGAAATGTCTCACAGCATTAATGCTCGGAATTGATTACTCTCTCAGGATCAAGCTATTTAAAAAACAAGTTCCGCTTCTTGCGCAGATAATTTTTGTATCTGTACATATGGCAAAACTTGAAAAGTTAAGGTCTCTCAGGTGAGTTTCACAAAAATAATCTAGACATCTAACAGTACTTGACCCATTTGTGACCTTATCAAACAAATCTCTACAAATTGTTGTTACTCTTCTCTGTAAAAATACTGTACTTATCTAAATTTTGGACAAAAACAAATAAACTGGCAATACTAAGGTTGGTGAACGAATTAAACCATTTTTTTATCACTGTTTATTTCAACCCTCTGTACTATGTGCAGATTCTGCAGATTTTGCAGATAACTCATTAGTTATTTACCACTCAAAATATTATTTATAGTGATATTAAGTGAAAAATATTGGCTCAATAATTTATTGATTAAAGTTTAACACTGTACAATTTTAATGTATAAGTTTTTTTTACAGATTAGCTGCAATAAAAAACATGACAGCGTTCACAGCTATCCATGACAAACTGACAGACAGTGCATATCAAATAAAGGATAGTAACATTGAGTTTGTAGTGGTGGACATGCTCTCAAGCATATTACCAGGTGTGCTCTCCGCTTTACAGGATATTGCAATGGACACACAAAACCCGGGACATGCTGTTGTAGTAGTAAGTTACATGAAGTTTATGATCATTTAAAAAATTTATTAACATTGACATATTTATTTAGACAATTAACAGTATATTACAGTTTTCATGACAAGCAAATCATTTTAAAGTCACACTGAAATATTAAGTTTATAACCCATTTTTACATATGATTTGTTTTTATTTTAAACTCTTTGATACCTTGCTCTTTGATTCTTTTATGCATCATTGATACTCTTACTCTTTGATACTAACACTTAAGAACTTTTTATTTTTAAAGAGCCCTGACCATTGTTTAACAATTTTCAGTCTGCTTTAAACACAAGCCACCGTGTAATATGTGTAACAATGAATGACAAATTGTTACCAAAGAGAACGAGTGTAACTGCCAAAGACTTTGCGGTCATGATCGCAGAGAAGACAAGTTGCATAGACAAAGATGTAAGCAAGGGTAATTGATTCCAACACATTTATACATGTTAGTGTTTGCATGATATGTGGTACTTCCTTCTAGACTTTTCTATTTATCAATTTATTTTTCATGTTGATTACATAAGATATCAGAAAAATTTCAAATGCTAAGCTATATTTTCTTTCCTGTGTATTGTAGACATTTTCTTAATGTCTGTTTTTTTAATTTCCCATGAATATTTTATCGCATCTTTACAACCGAATACTGAAAAGATATTTCAATAAAGCCTTAAACGATTAAGCATTTATAGTCCAAATTCCATTAAAATTGCGAATATTTAAAATTAGTTTCAGAATACATTCATTAAACTTATTTCCCTCTAGTACATTTCCATAACTAGCTTTAAGACTGCATGACTGTTAATTAAAATTAGATTGGTGCTAGTGCTAGTTGGCCAGGGTGGTTGACTATAGCCTAGTCACCCCTTATTAGGGTAGGCTCCGAGCCCCTCAGTGGGGACGTGATGTCGTGATGATGACGCCGGTGATGATGATGATGATAGTGTTAGTGGAAATTCTTTTTTAATTAACCAGAGACATAAACTTCCAGGTCTGAAGGACATAGTCCGTCGTTCACCAGAGTGGTACACAATGGCAGGGGAGAAGTTGTCCCTCGTGGTGCGCAGTCTGGTGCCGCTTAGTACACATGAACACGTCAAAGTACGCAAAGAACTAGCCGTACTTTGCTCAAGGATATTAAATGAATGCAATCAGTAAGTACAATCTTACTTACTTACTAATATTATAAATGCCAAAGTATAGATGGTTGGATGTTTGTTAGAGTTTGTAGCCTAGACGGCTGAATGGATTTCGATGAAATTTGGTATAGATGTAGATGATAGTCTGGAAGAACACATAAGCTACTTACTTCTGCTTTTATTCCACGCTGACGGAATCGCGGGCAAAAGCTAGTTAAAGCTATAAAGATTACAATATTTGTTTACATTAATCTGTGGAAACACTAATTTGATTTGTGAATTTATTTTTGCATTCGACTTGTAAATTGTTCTAGAATATTACCAATACTTTAAATACCAAAGTAATGGTAGTAATATCGCAGGCGAAAGCTTGTTATTAAAACTACTAGTTATTTTTTTTATATTAACATTTAATTTTGACATTTTTTATTATTTTCTTTCATAAAGTTCGAATTTTTAATTCCAGATCAATGAAGCCTTCGATACCGATAGTGTTAGATGTATTGCTGTCCCTGTCTAACGACAGCTACCCGCAAGTAGCGCAGTACTGCTCTCGCGTACTCAAGACGTACTTCACAGACTCGCCCAAGGAACAGATTGTAGACACGCTGGATACATTGTGCGAGAACTTTCTTAATGTACTCACTAATTTGCCGAGAGTATTGAATAATATTAGTAAGTATATTTTTACATAAGTGTCATAAAATCGCTTATATACATTAAATAATTTGTCATTTGTGTCAGTCTTAATTTTTCAATAGATTGAAGTTCCTTTTTAAACAGCATTCAAATTGTTTAATACTAGACCGTGAAATGGCAATGTAAAAAATATTTTAATGACTAAAAATTCATGCTTGATATAATTCTTTCTGTTATTTAATGAATCTAACGGCCAACGAAACGACCTGATAATTTGACTTGTTACTTATTTAAATGTCGTTTCAGTATTCGGCCGTATGCTTATTTGAAAATATTTAGTTAACTTTATCTAAATTAAGTGTTATTAAAATATTTTAATGTATATCAGATTCCAGTCGCAAGCTGGTGGGTCTAGACCTGGTATACGGGTACATGCGTGTGCTGGGCTACGGGCGCGGCGACCGGCTGACGTCAGCGCTGACGTCGCGCGGCGGCCTGCCCACACTTTGCGACGCGTTACGTCACGCCGCCGCATTGCACACGCAGCGCGTCTCCCTCGCCACGCGCGTGTCGACCGACACTGACGTCACAGGTCACAAGCGATTGTATACTCTATTTGTAGCGGTGTAGAGTTCAGATTGGCCTACAAGTAACATAATTTGTATTTGTATAGAGTTGAGATTAGGTCACAAGCGATAATAGACCTTATTGGTATTGGTTAAGAGATGAATTTCGTGCATGTGGCAGATGATTTTGCTGACATCAGTGCGGAAAAAATTAACGTTTGACTACAAGCTGTATTGAACTTTATTTAGATTGTTTTAAAATACATAGTTGAATGAAAAACTAAATATCCGGAGTCGACTTATACTGCACCTTATGGAGATTTGAATAGAGTAGAAAATCTATTGAATTGCTTTCTGAACACTATGGTCCTTAAGATACGATTTGCATTGTGTTTTTTCCTTCTTGATTTTTCTCGAATGTATCCTTATAGAGTTGAGCAGCAGTTCGACGTCCCCGTGGCTGGAGTTCCGTCACCTGGAGGAGGCGGAGTGCGTGTCGCGGCTGCGCGCGCTGTGCGGCGAGCTGGCGGGGGCGGAGTGCGCGCACCTCGTGCTGGACCACCTGCTGGACCTCTTCCAGCAGAGGGACTGCGAACTGGCCTACATCATCAATTGTATCGGCTCTGGTAACTATCACATACATTATTCAGTTAAAATCTGACGTACTATTGCAATATTTCTATAAATTTTTCTTTTATTTGTTTTAATAAAGTATTCTGTACCATACTATCATAAACTTTCTAGCTTTTACATATTAACATCCATCCATCCAATCTTTTGCATTTTTGCTTGATTTCCAGCTCCAAAGGCCTCGCCGTCGCTCGCCAAGCGGATACTAGATGTATACCTGGAGGAGGACTTGTGGTATCTTCCGCTGGAGCTGGATGCAGAGGAGCCCGCCCTCAGCACAGAGGATACCCTGGATGTCAACGTGTATAACCCTCGGGGATGGAGCAAGGATAGTGTACCAGGTCAGTTCAAAATACTAGATGAATTAGGATATATGAAATCGGTATAATTAACCGGTAGATCTTAGAACAAAGTTAAACATTATAAATTACTGGCTTTTACCTGCGACTTCGTCCGCGTGGAATTTAAAAAGTAGCCTATGTGTTCTTCCAGACGGTTCTGCTACGGAGCAGTTTAGGCTACAAACTTTAACAAACATCCATATAAACTTTTGCATTTATAATTTTAATAAGACTATGAGACAAAGTGGTATCAGAATTTTTTAAAACTCAAGTTCCCAGACCTTCAGTAGGATTGATATTTAAATGTAGACTTTTATGTTTTACTGTGAATTCGCTATAATAGCGAAGAAACCGTTTACAAATAAACAAATTCAAATTCGTTGTCTACTTTTAATTGACAAACGAGTAAGAAAGAGTATTTCTCTATTTTAACGTTCCCACCTCCGCAAATCTTCTATTCTTCTTCTCCTTCCCTCTTGTGTAACTGAATGGTTTGTTCAGGTTTATTCGAGGGTGCGATGGAGGTGCGGTACACCGGCATCAGCTACCGGCAGGCGCGGGGTGCGCTGGGTGCGGGGTGCGGGGGGTGCCGCAGCGCCGCGCAGCTGCAGCGCCACCTGCTGCTCAGCTGCCTGCTCACCGCCGGCCTGGGCGAGCTGGCGGCGCGCCTGCAGGAACACTTCCAGCCCTACCTCATGAAGACCATCTGTCTACTGCTGGAGAGAGTAGGTTTGTAACTGAGGGTTCACGCTTTACGGAATCATTAAAATTATAATGACAAAGACAACTTTTTGTCAAGATTTTTGTTGTAGATTTACAATAAATTAGCTGTTTCATTGCTTCGTTCGCAAACAATTATTAGAAAAATATGTTATTGTCTTCAAATGTCATAATTCAAATGCACAAAAGACAACAACGGTCTTTACCATTGGATGATTACCCTTACCTATCAATTTCGCTTGGCTTATAGTTTTTGTCCCTTTCTGTCATGACAGTTTTTTCCAATTTATTTACCCTGTAAAATAAATGGCTTAAGTGTAGCCTATATTGTGTCATAAATGCAGAACCTTTTTGTATAAATACAAGATTTATTCAAATACTAACTATCGCATTAAAAAAAAAAAAGTGAGTAGCCTACGTGTTTAACTATATTTTACGCGTATGCCGAATTTCATTGAGATCCGTTCAGCCGTCTAGGCTACAAACTTTAACAAACATCCATTCATCTAAACTTTCGCATTTATGATATTAGTAAGAAGCAAGATTACTAAGATATACCATGATTGCTGACATCAAACATAACAAAGTGTTTTTTAGTATTCTATAAGTATAAATATTGATAAATAGGTGAAAATTTTATAATATTACTAACTGTTGCCCGCGACTTCGTCCGCGTGGTATTAAAAAACATACGAACTATATAAATAACAAAAAGCTACGTATCCCTCGGGAACCGGACATTTTTCAGGGATGAACCTTATCCCATGTGTACTTCAGACTTTGTTTTATATCTGTGCCATATTTCAATAAGATATGTTGAACCGTTGCAGAATGATCGAGTAAACATGAAAAAAAAATGAATCCCACGGGAACTTACTATTCCCGGGATAAAAAGTAGCTTATGTGTTATGATCAGTACAGCTGTTTAACAAACTCTAAGAAACATCCATCTATCTAAACTTTCGTATTTATAATATTAGTAAGATGTATCCAGGTAGTCGCTACGAGGTGCTGCACGCCGCGGGGCTGCAGGCGACGCTGGCCGTGGCCTCGGCCTGCGGGCACTCCGCCGCGGGGGACCTCATCGCCGCCAACGGAGACTACATCACCAGTCAGATCACTAATAAACTTAAAAAGGTACATACTTATACCTAATAAAACTATAATATACCAAATTCGTAAGTCGGTAAGTCGGTAATACTAGCTTGTTATATAGTTTTTTCCCCCCCTGTTTCTTCCGTGTACAATTAAAATAAATGTAATATAGCCTATATCGCTCAGTGATAATTTAGCTTTCTAATAGTGGAAGGATTTTAAAAATCGCTCCAGTAGTTTTTTAGTTTATCTGTTACATACAAAAAGAAACTTTTATCTCCATATTAGTAGATTTTACGAGGATATTGTCGTTATAAAATTGTTTTTATTTTATAATACTCTAGTAAGATTTGAATTTACGCGAAAAGATTATTTAATTATTTCATAATAGCTTTCGCCCGCGACGCCGTCCGCATGGAATTAAAAAAAAAAAACAAAAGTTAGTAGCCTATGTGTTCTTTTAGACTATACTCTACGTCTATGCCAAATTTCATCGAGATCCGTTAAGCCGTTTAGTCTACAAACTCTAACAAATATCCATCCATCCATCCATAAGATGGTTTTGTATTGTGTAAATTTTTTTTTCTTGCAGGCGTGGAACATCCAGTCAGCGTTGGAGATATTGTCTGTCGTGATGAGATACAGCGACACTTCCATACTGGACTACCTCTACGGTATCGTCGATGACGTGAGTAACTCATACTCCTTAAGTGCTCCCCTTAGTGTACATTCACAAAATCTACAATAAAGATCTACCTTAAATACTAATTAATGGAATTAGTAAGTGAAAATGATTGTTTTTTTTTATTCATTTGTTTTTTTTTTTAATATAGTCTTACAAGTATATCTGTATACACTATAGTCCTAGGTCAGCTCACTAGCGTCCTTTTCATCAAAAAAGTATCATACTGTATCTGCCATGTAGTTTTTTAATTCAATTTATTAAATTTTCTATACGCACGTGGATTTTATATATTTTTAGTTAAAATCACTTCACATAAAATACTATCACTTCACACCTGACTAGATTTGGTTTTTAATTTGTTCGTTTTTAATTATTTTTTAATTAAAATGATTTAAAACAGACAAATAATGATTTTATATTTTTTTCTTAATTAGGTTCTCGTCCAAAGCTGCGATAAATATCATGAAAAAGATCGCTACGCGTATTTACAAGTATTTTTAACTTTCATCAATTATTTAAGAAAATGGTTTTATATTGAAGAAGAAACAACCATAGCAAAGGACACTGAAATACCGAATGTATTGAAAGATGTTGTAGAATTTGCTAAGAATCAGAAAGAAGTAGAGGAAATGCTACACAAAGAGGATATAGACAAGAAGAGTGCGGAAGAGATGTATTTAGAAGATGTAAATAAAGATGAGAATGAATTGGATTATGACGATACTGTTACAAGTGAGTTTATTTTTTTTATATCCGAGGCAGTGTTAAATGTTTTTAAATTCGGATATAGCAATTTATAATAACAACTTACACCCGTAAATCAAGGGGTAAACAGAGACCACATACCTCTATCGATTTCGTGTACTCTTACGATTTACAATAAGTATTATTTTTAGAAGATATTAACCGGTTTTTAACTTGAGAGCTCTCAACATAGCAAAAGTTTAAGCAAATATAGAATAATTGCAACTAGTTATATTATAAGTGCAAGTAATTCTCAAATTTTGTCTTTTAACCCTATATTCTCCTAAAATTGATGTATTTTCATGTTCCAGAAGAGAAAGATCCCGTCCCCCGTCACATATCAGTGACAGTGTCCATTCTGCGGCGTACTATCAACTTCATAACGTCCCCGCGGCGCGACGAGAGCGTGGTCGCGCTGCGCGTGCTGCGCTGCGGCATGCTCCTGCTGCAGGACCACGAGGACCACCTGCTGCCGCTGGTCCACGCCGCGTGGTCTCCGCTCGTGGCCACCGTGGCGCACCCGCCGGTCGCCATGGCGGCGCTAGACCTACTCGTTACCATGGCAACGCTGTCGAAAGATTTTATAAGAAGCCGCGCCTCCAAGTAAGATTTTTTTTATTTTGTTTTTAAATAGTTAAATAGTAAAAGAAATTTTAGTTAGTTATAATGCTATTTGCAGTAGTATCTCATATTCGGATTTTGTATTTGCGAAAATATTTTTTTTTTTTTAAATCTGCATGAATAAATATTAAAACAATGGCATACTTAACATGTATTTTTATAATAAATGTTGCTCTTAAACAAATATAATACTATTATTATTTTTAGAAATCAAACAGAACGCAATTCGAATTATTCGCTTTTAACGTGTGGATGGATGGACGTTTATTACTACGTTATTCCAAAATGACTTACAGATGTTGAAATTTAGAACAAATGTACGTTGATCGAAGTCTCGTGCTAAGACTATCCAATATATTTTCCAGAGATGTACTCCCACACATATACAAATACTTAAAAAGAAGCAGTACAGAGAGTTTACTAAAAGACGTGGGTTCGTTGTACCGGCTGAGCGCGGGCTACCGGCTGCAGGGCGCCGCGCTGGCCGCGCTGCCGCGCCTGCTGCTGCAGCTGGGCGTGGACGAGCCCGGGGTAGAGGCAGCCATGGATGCCGCCTTACCCTACCTCTCCAAGAACCAGCCGCTACCCCTGCAGGTATTGTACTTTCTTATATTATGTTGATATTGCTGAATCGTAAAATATTGCATCCAAGTTATTTGGTTACTTTTAATGGTAGAAAGTCAAGACCTATGTTTAGCATTTTTTGTGTGGATGAATATTATTTTGTAAATAAATTATTCATACTAATATTATAAATGCGAAAGTTTAGATGGATGGATAGATGCATGGATGTTTGTTAGAGTTTGTAACCTGGCTGAACGGATTTCGATGAAATTTGGTACAGATGTAGAGGATAGTCTGCAAGAACACATAGGCTACTTTGTTATATTTTACACTTTTGTTTTTTTTTAATACCACCCGGACGGAGTCGCGGGCAACAGCTAGTTAATATATAAAGTAAATTTTTTGTGTAATTTATAATGTTATAAAGAGGTATTTGTATTTTTATGTGGAATGGATAAACTCAAAAATTACAGAACGGATATCAAAATTCTTTTGCCATGAGAAAAAATGAAGTCGCCAACAAAAGCTTAATAATTTCTCTTTATTGTAGTTATCTGTTATTTTAGACGTCGTTTTTGCAACTGGTAACATGTTTTTTTAATTATAAATGGTTTTTTCCAGGAACTGTCTGTGAGTTTCTTCCAACAAATGTCATTAAGTAACTACGGCGTGGTGTGGTACTACATGCGCGTGGTGTGCGCCAACGAGCGCGTGCTGCCCGCGCCGCGTGACGTCACACTGCCCCTCTGTGACGTCACCGGCAACACCTACAAGTGCGCGCATACCGACTACGAGAAGAATATCAAATTGATATTCAAGAAACATAAAAGTTAAATTAAATTTAGAGTCAGATACCAAATTCTTCTAGATTGTCAAATAGCAATCCAACTTGTAAAACATGTGATGAAAATATCGGATTTTGATTTATCTGACAGTGACGTCATTTTTAAGCTATCTGAGCCATCAGTCAATGGTGGGACAGACCCTTAGTATTGTAAATAAGCTATTGTTTTGTTTAGTATTTAAATGTTATATGTACTGATCTACATTGACAAGGATATGACTGTTTAAAAATATAGACATTTTAATTATGTATTCTATTGTAAATAATCTAACACTGCTCGCGTATTAATAATTTGCAAAGACATAAATTATAAATTAAATCCTACTTTCATCTTTTATTTTTATTTTAAAAAACATAGTTTAAGCAAGCTACGACTCGAACCAGTCTCCGGGTGATTCAAAATGGTGGCAGTGCTATAGCAAACTAAATTATACCAGTATCCAAAATATGTACTATTTAGTAAGACGCTCAAAAAAGTACCTTCTCCAGAATGAAAATAAGTTACACCTGTATTTTTTTAACCATTGCTTATAACATGATAGCAAACGAGCTATTGCTAGCAACTTTGTCCACGTGAAATTAAAAAAAATATACGTCTCTCACAGGTAAATTACCTTTCTAACGGTGAAGGAATTTTGAAAATCGGCCCAGTAATTTTTGTGTTATTTCAATACATACAAAAATATGGTTCTTTTCTCTTTATAATAGACTAGCTTTAGTCCGCGTGGAATTAAAAAAACAAGTAAGCCTATGTGTTCTTTCAGTTTCGCGTGAAATTAAAAAAAAATAGCTTGTGAGTTTTTCCAGACTCGTCATCTAAATCTATGCAATGTTTTCATCGTTTAGCCATTTAGAATATACACTCTGACAAACATGCAATACAATCTTTCGCATTTATAATATTATTAAGGGGACAGGGGTCTTTGTAGTTTTTTTTAAAAAGTCATTCTGAAGATACTATTTTTGAGCGTGGTATTTAATTGTACATTTTAGGAACGTTTTTTCGTCGATTGTATAATTAATTCGCTATGGAAAACCCGACATTTCTACACACGCAGACATGCTGCGGCACATTTGAATCTCATCAAAGCATTCCAATAAAACACAAATTGGCAGTATGTAATCTTTATATTTTACAAAACAAACCTGTTTTAAAACAAACGTATATCATATAAAACCATTGCGACCTCAACCCACACATGGCAGCCTGTCTTTACATGTACTTTACTATTTAATATTGCAATGTTTACGATTTATACATCTTTAACTAGAACAAGAAAATATTTTTACTAGCAACACCATATATATAACCATAAAGTTGCCAGATTTAATGTAATTTGTAAACTAAAAATGTAAATGTGAGATTTACAAGACTTTTATTTGCATTGATCTTAACTATTATTTTTCGCTTCTCGAATATTTTCAACTGAATTAAATATTCAAGGTTTTTCGGATTACATTTTCTAACACATTCGGATACAATGACTAACAATGAATAGATATTAAATAAAACAAAAAACCCTTTAATACTTTGACCTTAAATGCTAAATAACAAATGTTGCGATAAGTGAAAAATTATATTAAAATTGCAACATAAAAGATTACAATATTGTAACCTCGAAAATAATTTGCATTCTAGACTTGTCGTGACATAACAGGTCCATATGACAGGTGTCAATGTGACAGTTACGAAATCGATATTTTAAACAGATAAAAATCGATATTCCTGTTTTTGTTAAATTAATTTTTATAGCTTACATAGGACCTTTTACATCGCGACGTTTAATAACTTAAGTAATGTAAATGTAGGATAAATAAGATTTAATATATGAAGGAAATTCGTAAGCACTTGTCCTTATTTGTACATTTCACGATATAAATAACAATGATGCTTAAAAAGTGTTACCAATATACGTATAAAAGAACAAATCGTGTTTTTTTTACCTTTTTCAATAACATTTAAACTTTAAACTCAATAACATTTGAACACAAGTTTGCAGATATGTTGAGATATACAATAAAAAGTAACGGAAATCGCTTGTACTGTGAAATAGATATGAATTATGGAATGATCTTGTTCCAAATTTAAATAAATACAAACCACCCTTAAATTATACTAAATCCTCTGACCTCTTTAGTCCACTGGAGAGGCTATAAGCTGTGGGATTTTGTGCCTATTTGATATCCGCCATTTTGGCGCTGACGGTTGCGATTTCGGAAACTCGAACAATAGAATAAGCTATAAATTACGAAGCAAAATGCTGTTATTTCCAAGCGGTGACCTTTCCAGTGGATATTTACTGAAGCCAGTGACTAAATTGCACTAGACAAATTGATCTTGAGTCAATAAGTTAAGCAGAATATTGACTGAACTGCATAATTTATTGACTTACAAATTTTTCCTCAAACCAACTTAATATCTAGAGTAACACTTGGCCTGGGACGATGACATTTTCGATACAACCAACTATGAAATGGTAACTATTTTTTATATTCTTATTTATGTCATATAATTACATTAATGTCATTTTTACTATTATTAATTGAGTAATTAAATAGTATTTTTTGTATACAACTTAATGTATAGTTTCTTACACGCGTCATTCGAACCAGTTTTTTAATAATTCTGTCATGACATGCACAAAAGAACGCCAAAATATTGCAAAAAAAGACCTATTAAAATTACTGTGTTAAGTTAAAAATGGGTACAAGTTCGTTGCAAATGAGTGTAGTCTAAAAAATCCTTACTAATAGAATGCAATTGACATCACACATTAATCTAAAAAGGTTAAATGATTTCAACAATTTATTGATACTGAGGACATATCACGAATATTTCGACAACATTTGCGAGAAAATATTAGTAGTGGACAGATATTGTATGAGATTTTCTATTTTTTACAGCCGGTATGGGCGGTGTTTAACATCGATGTCGTTAAAACATTCTCACTAGTTTTCGTGATAACCTCAGATCTGTCATCGTCCAGTAATTACAATAAAGTGTATTCATTTTACACACTCACACTATGCACAATCACAAAACTATATATTTATATAATTTACCTATAGTCCTTTCGAGAACTTTCGAACCGTATTGCTTAGGGAAAAGATAAACAAACTTGATTCAACATGCATTTAATATTTACATCAGACAATAAACTTAAAAGATGGTCCCCGCAGGCCGCATGTCTGCCCGAAGGACGGGAGGGTATTTTCAAGGAAATCAAGAGATTCCCAAACTTTTCATTTTATAGAACACTGCTAGTTGTTTTTTTTCACACACATCTATGTTTTTTTAGTGTTCTCCTAGATCATTTAGTTAACCATTGATTCCAATGTGACTTTTTATGAGTCATGGGTAACTCAATTAAAAGTGATGATCTGCAGATCAGTGAGCTGATTCACAGATAGGCTCAGTTTTGTACAAATATATGATTTGAATGAGCGTGTGCTGAGAGCTTGAGAGTGGAGCCGAGTTTTTTGATTGTTTTTAAGAATTTACGTCGACTGTAGAGCTGTGAACTGGTAATTAGTTGAGTTGTAGCTCAATGGTTCATATCTAAATGATCTGATCTTTTGAGCCAATTAGAGTTTATAGACATCTAACTTTTGTGTGAAATTCGTTTCGTGATCCAGAATATTAGTAAACTGTTTTTTTTTCAAACAGCTAACGACCGTTTTATAGTATATTTATTATCTGTATAATAGTATTATGTATAATTTAAAATATCTTAATATACTAACAGCGATATATGATATTTACAAAACACTTACACTGTTTGTTATAAAAAGATTATACTGATTTTTATATAAAAAATTCTATTGGTGTTCAATTTATTGCTCGTTTTTGTATAATTATAAGGCATTTTTTAATTTAACATTGTACATCAAGTTAAACTATCTACTAAATGCTACAGATAATAAAATTTTCACTAAAATTACATTAGAATATTTAAAAAAGCGGAATATTGCATTGCCGTCCTTGCGTTTTAAACATTAAAATATATCTATAAATCCATATAAGATCAATAGATTATTTTCTTTAATATTTACTTCTCGCGTACTCCCTTGACCTGTTGCATGTGTGTTCAAATTTGATCTTTATCCCTTTGCAATACGGTTGCGATTGTGTGATCACTTCCAGGCCATGCGCAGCGTCTTGCGCGAGGCGAAGTACTTGGTGGTGTAGGAGGCGAGCAGCAGCGCCACCAGCACGATGCTGATCAGGTGGTAGTCGAAGTCGTCTTTCAGAAGATCGAATGTCTTAGATGGCGCCACTCGCGTATAATATAAATCTGTAAAACGATAGCAATAACATTAAAATCTATCTTACTAATATTATAAATCTGAAAGTTTAGATGGATGGATGTTTGTTAGAGTTTGTAGCTTAAACGGCTGAATAAATTTTGATGAAATTTGGCATAGATGTAGAGGATAGTCTGGAAGAACACATTGGCTATTCACTTTTGTTTTAATTTCAGTTCCACGCTGACGGAGTCGCGGGCGAAAGCTAGTACTAATTTAAAGAAAGATTTGTATTTGTGTATGTATTGCAATAACTAAAAAATTCTTACACCAGTAAGTAACCGTCGAGTATGAATAAATTTCGCTACTAAATTACATTATATTAAAAAAAAAATCTTTACAGGTTTAAAGTATAAAAAATAAAGTTTTTCCAATTTCTCATATGCCTATTAACGGCGTTTAGCAAGTCAAAACACTTGTTAACATAAACAACATTTACAATACAGTGTTTAAATTTCAGCATTCGTTAGAGTTTAGGAATGGTGAGTTCGTCATTCATTCATTCCCTAGCTAAGTGGTCAGTATTTATAAAGAATCATATTGTATCCATATACAATGATTTCTACTTGACCATATTTGTGGTTTGACGTAAAGTATTGTTTCTTCATTCAATCGTTCATTCATTGGTGAGTGAGTGTATGACTGACCGAGTCCCGTAGCAAGCACGAGGCTGGTGGACTCGATGCCGGCGGGGTGTGTGTGCAG